AGGGAGAAATGGGATTTTATTGTTTAATGAGTATAAACTTTCAATATTATAGTATGAAAAGAGTTATGAAGATGGATGGTGGTGTTGCACAACATTATGAATGTATTTAACACTGCTGAACTGTATACTTCAAAATGTTTAAGGTGGTAAATTTTATGTTATGTGTATTTTAAAACAGTTTTTAAAATGTGGGGGGAAGAGGGAGACTATCTAGAATGACCAAGTGAGAATTATCCCAGGAAGGCAAGGTTGGTTTTACAGTCAAAAATCAATTAATGCAATACACCATATCAATAGAATAAAGGTCAAAAACCACACGAACATCTCAACAGATGCTGGGGGAAAAAACATCTGTTCTGTTCATATATTATTTACAATAGCCAAAATATAGAAGCAACAACCCAAGTGCCCATCCACAGATGAATGGATAAAGAAGATGTGGTACATATATGACTGGAATATCACTTAGCCATAACAAAAGAATGAAATCTTGCCATTTGCAACAACATGCATGGATCTACAGGGTATTATGCTAAGGAAAATAAGTCAGACAAAGAAAGACAAATACTATATGGTTTCATTTAATGTGGAATCTAAAAAAACAAAATAAACAAAACAGAAATAAACTCATAGATACAGAGAACAAATTGATGCTTATCTGATGGGAGGGGATTTGGGGTCGTAAAAAAAAAAAAGGTGATGGGATTAAGGCATACAAATTACCAGCAATAAAAACAGTCACGGGGATGCAAAATACAGCATGGAGAACATAGTAATAGTGTATGGTGTCAAATGGGTACTAGACGTATCAGGGTGATAAGTCTTTTTTTTTAATATATTTTATTGATTTTTTTACAGAGAGGAAGGGAGAGAGATAGAGAGTTAGAAACATCGATGAGAGAGAAACATCGATCAGCCGCCTCCTGCACATCTCCCACTGGGGATGTGCCCGCAACCCAGGTACATGCCCTTGACCGGAATCGAACCCGGGACCCTTCAGTCCGCAGGCCGACGCTCTATCCACTGAGCCAAACCGGTTTTGGCAAGGGTGATAAGTCTTAAGTTAGATAAATGTTGTGCACCTAAAACTAATATAATACTGTATTATACAGTTAACAAACTGTAATTGAAAAGTAAAAAAAAAAAAATTTTTTTTAAGAATATTATAAGAACAGAGGAGAAACAAATGGTTGAATTTCATTGCATGAGGGAGAAATGCCCTCCTGAGACCACCTAGAAGGAAAAAAAAAACACAGAAGAAAGGCTAGGAAAGGGGAAAGGGCAGAAGGGGAGTGGGGGAGGGGATGGGAGGGAGAAGAAGGTTGGGGAGAGGAAGGGAGCTACCCTACTCACTGTAAAAATGACCCTATGCCTGCAATCAGAGTACTGTCTCCTCTTGCAGAATAGGAAGGAGAGGACGGAGAAGGTCGGTTTCCCTCTCCTAGATGCTCTTTAATTGGAGGAAGATTCCTGGCAGAGATGTAGAGATGCAAGCAGCAGAGAAGACAGGATCAAACCAAACCTGAGCAGAATGCCTTGGTGAGTAAAGAATACCTAACAGTTCCTTGCAAATCAAAGACCCTTAAGAGAAAGCTGCTTATTTTGAGATTTGTAAGATTTTAACCCGGAAGGAAATTGAAGAATTATTAAAGTGATTTATGCTTTATTGCAAGGACACAACTGTTGGTATAAATGAAGTGCTTTGCAGATGTTATAAGATATTGTGGGCAGGGGAAGCCATCCATTTACATTCCCAGAGCTTTACTTTATTAAGGGCCTTGAGTGGTTATTTTTTCAAAGTCTTCTTCCCTTCTCTTCTGAGTGCACTTCTAGTAGGGGCATGCTAAAGTTCTATTCATGAAGAAGAAGAATCATTTTTTTTCTTCATGATGATCTAGAAGAGACACAACCTAGTGACTTGCTTTCTGGAGCATTGATTTGAAAAAGAGAAATGACCTACAGGGTGCCTTTGGTGAAAACAGTTCGTTCTCTCTGTTTAACTTCCAGAACTGCAACAGTCTGACCTTTCAGTGCTATTAAAGACTAAACCCCAAAGGAGGATGTGGGGGTAGCTGGGGAGCCACTTATAGTTTATAGCAATGACTCTTTGTGCAGACTTCCTGCGCTCTGGCTTTGGAGTGACACGTTGTCTTCACCCTTTTGAACTTTCTTTTGGGCTATTTATTTATTTATTTATTATTTTAATTCTCACCCAAGGATATGTTCTATTGATTTGGGGGGGGGGGGGGTGGGGGAGAGAGGAAGGAGAAAAAAAAAAGAAATATTGATCTGAGAGAGAAACATAAATTGGTTGCCTCCTGTCCGTGCCCTGATTGGGGATGGAACTGGCAACTGAGGCATGTGCCCTGACCAGGAATCAAACCCTCAACTTATTGGTGAATGGGATGATGCTCCAACCAACTGAATCACTGGCCAGGACTGGCTTTTTGATATGCACGTGACTATGACCACCAAGTCTTCTTACCCCTGGGAAGTGTGGCCGTCCAGAGAGCATCTCTTCAGGGTAGCTCATGTTTCTATTTCAGAACTCCAGTCACACGTTTGTGGTGTTGTACAGAGAGGTGATTTGTCCAGGGTTCCCCTCTCCTTTTCAAAATTCTAGTACATACAGAAAAAGAATCAGAATATTATGATGATCATCCAATATTTATCACCTAGATCAAACAATTGCAAAAATTTGCCATATAATCCTTATTTTTCCTTTTTCTTCTTTTTTTTTTTGCTGCAGTAATTTAAAGCAAGTTATAGGTATATATATTTCACCCCTGAATACTTCAAAATTCATCCATAAATAATTAACATATCTTTGTTAGGTAAACAAAAATCTTTTGTCACATTTAACAAGATTCACATAATTTTTCAATACATTCATATATTTCCTATTGTAAAATTTACTTTTTTTGAGAGAGAGAGAGAGAGGAAGGGAGAAGGAGAGAAACATTTACATGAGAGTGAAACATTGATGGGCTGCCTCCTGCATGCCCCCTACTGGGGATAGAGCCCACAAAGTGTCCAATTCAGAAGCACTAAACACCTTTACAATGTTATACAACCACTACCACTATTTCCAGAACATTTTCATTATCCCAAATGAACCCTACGCCCTTTAAGAATAACTCCCCAGTTAATCCAAACAATCTTTTAAAGATGGTTAATTCAATAAGCTCCACATATTTGGTGGTTGTATTTCTTAAGATTTCTAATCCGGAACTGCCTCCTCTCGCCACACTCACATTTTATTTTCATGACATTGACTTGTTGACAATTCTGGCCAATTGTTCTGTAGAATGTCCCACCTTCTGGATTTGTCTGATTATTTTTTCATGGTGTTGTTAAACATGTTCTTCTGTCTTCTGTATTTCTTTTAAGCTCAGAGAAAGGCTTGGTAAGAATCAGGTTAAAATTTTTGATAAGAATTCTTCCTACTGCATCGTATTAGGCTGTACATAATGTCTGGTTGTCCCCCTATTGATGAGGCTAATATTGGTCACTGAGTTAAGGGGATGGCAACCTCTTAAAAATGGGTTTTTTAAAATGGGTTCTTAACTACTTGCATAGTTTTCAAATGATTATCTCTACTTTGAATGTTCAGATAAAGGGACTCAGAGATGTTACCTGGCACCTAAGAGACAGCCTTTATCAGTATAAAGGATAAGAGGATTAAGACTGAGGCTTTATGCTCTTTATGGAGTACTAGAGGCCTGGTGCATGAAATTCGTGCACTGGGGAGGGTGTGTCCCTCAGCCCGGCCTGTGCCCTCTTGCAGTCTGGGAGCCCTCGGGGGATGTTTTTAAGCCAGCAGTCAGAGATCCTTCTTGCAGTCCGGGGCTCCCATAGTCTGGGACCCCTCGTTCCTTACTACCCTCCAGCAGCGGAGGCAGTAGAGGCTCCTGCCACCGCTGCTGCACTCGCCAGTTGTGAGCCCAGCTTCTGGCTGAGCAGTGCTCCCCCTGGTTGGAGAGGCTCCCACCACCGCCACTGCGCTCACCAGCTGTGAGCCTGGCTTCTGGCTGAGCGGTGCTCCCCCTGTGGTAGAGCAAGACCACCAGGGGGCTTCTCTTGCATTGACCGTCTGCCCCCTGATGGTCAATGTGCATCATAGTGACCAGTGTTCCACCGGTCATTCTGCAGTTTGGTCGATTTGCATATTAGAGTTTTATTATATAGGATACACAAGTCTTCAAATTTATTGCTAAGGGTGGTCAATCAAGGCAGAAATTTTTGGAATATGAAGTCCAGCAGAGACTACTTTTTCTCTGAGCTCAAAAGAAAATACTCTGAAATTCATTTTTAGCCAGAATTTAACCATGGATAAGTAGATTTCTTTGCTAACACTTATTAAAGACAGTGAAATCACTTTGGGAATTCAGATACAGAAGAATTTTTTATGGCATTTTACAATAATTCCCTATCCACCTTCAGCTCCCCCACCCCTGCCAAACAAAACAAAACAAAACAAAAACAACAACAACAATAACACTTTAGACTCTAGAATAAAATATTTAGGAAGGGCATTTTCTTTGAATGCAGAATAGACAGATCTTTAGATGTTTCTTGAGTACTGTTTAAATTTTAAAGTAAGGAAAACTATGTATCTTCTCTCTTTCTTTGATGTTTACCTTTTGTCTTTTAGCTACTATAAACTAAATAACTGCTCCATTGAAAATATAAGCAAGTAGGTTAACAGATCTCATTATTTGAACTAAAAATTTGGGTTTCTAAGGAAAATTAGTTATTTTTAATCTCCATGTAAACACTTTTATTTTACAGCAATTAAATATCTAAATCAGTTAAGCTGTGCTCAAGGTTGCCCAGTATTTCTGGATACCCAGAGGGGATTTGGGGTTATTATTGTTTTGAGTGTGTTTGTTTGTTTGTTTTTATTATTTTGTCTTTCAGCTAACACAAAGATAGGGGAGTTGTGAATTTTCTGCATAGCAGCACAGAATTTAACCATAGGATACTGGACGAACAATTTTCATTTTACTACTGGAATTAGTAATATCCTTTTTCTTAATTTATTCTGTAATTTTTAAAGATTCTGGCTTCAAAGTTACCAGTTGGGTAGGGGAGGTTGTGTAGGTCCCTTTGATAAATGAGTTCTGCAACAAAAGTACTACCAGAAGGCCTAGCAACACTTCCCCATCACCTTCCATTGGGGATTATTTCACTTGGTGAAGACCCCACCAGTAGATTACAAAACCAATCAGTGGAAAGGGTCAGCCATCCTTTCCCTTTTCTTTTTTTAATCAAATCACAACAAAGCTGGCTTGGCTTCTCTCAGAGCCTCCCGAATTATCAAAGTCTGTCTCTCACTCTGGCCAGTCCTGTCTTTTCTCTTCTCTTCATTGTCACTCATCCTAGGCTGTCATTCTTCAATGACTCCTCTTATTCCCATCAAATGTTGTATTCCCTAAGGATTCCCCTCCTCACATCAGTCTATGGTACATCACTGAATACTCAATAGAATCGAAGGAGGAAGAAAATGAATCCAGCGGAGGAGGTCTGTGCCTAAACCTGTATTCTGAACTCCCTCTGCCCAACTTCCATTTGTTTTGAACTGCCAGCTTTAGTTTCCTGTCTGGATTCTCTAGGCTCTTGGTGTTCTATAAGGATTACCTATGGTGGATCGAGCCAAAACTGGCTCTCCGACATCCCCCAAGGGGTCCCGAATTGCGAGAGGGCGCAGGCCAGGCTAAGGGACCCCATCGGTGCATGATTGGGGTCAGGGAGAGAGGTGGGAGGTTGGCCAGCCAGGGAGGGACTGTGTGAGGGCTCCAGGGCATGTCCAGCCTGTCTCACTCAGTCCCGATTGGCTGGACCCCAGCAGCAAGCTAACCTACTGGTCGGAGCGTCTGCCCCCTGGTGGTCAGTGCACATCATAGTGAGCGGTTGAGCTGCCTTAGTATATCATTAGCATATTCAGCTTTGATTAGTTGAACAGCTGACTGGACGACCGGGGACTTAGCATATTAGGCTTTTATTATATAGGATAATGGAATTACTTGAACCATGCCCAGTACTTCAAAAAAGCCTAAAAGACTGTATATGTAGTCACAACAAACTGGACCAGGTTGACTAAATAATGGAAAACTTCTTTCATTTTTGGAGGAGTAGGCAACTGGAAGATGGGGATATTAAGCCACACTAACTCCCTGCAAAGGCTGTATGTTCCTACTAAGAAGGAGTTCTCGTTGGCCATGTGTTTTCTATATGATAGAGAGAGTATAGTGGAAAGAATATGGGTGTAGAGGTGAGGCCAATCAGAATTTAGTTTCTAGAAATAAGACTTAGACTATTTATTTAACATCTCCAAACCTCAGTTTACTCATCTGTAAAATGGGACTAATAATTTCCATTTTTTTCAGACTACTTGAGAGTTTTTAGACAATGTATATAAAGCACTCATTAATACAATACCTAATAAATATTTAATACTAGAGGCCCAATGTACAAAATTCGTGCACTGGTAGGGTTCCTAGTGACTGCTGGCTGCCAGCTGCCAGCCAGGTACTCCCTCCCTTCCCCTGGTCACCTGCTGCCGCCTGCCAACACTGCCACTGCTGCCGCCACTGGCCAGGGCCTCCCTCTCTTCCCCCAGCCACCTGCCAGTGCCAGGACCTCCCTCTCTTCCCCCGGCCGGCCCGCTCCTGGGTCAAACTCCTGGAAGAACTCCAGTCGAGGGGACAATTTGCATATGCTTTTATTATATAGGACTAGAGGGACAGTGCACGAAAAATCGTGCACTTGAGGCGGGGGCGGGGGGGGGGGCCCTCAGCCCGGCCTGCACCCTCTCGCAGTCCGGGAGCCCTTGGGGGATGTACAACTGCCATCTTAGGCCCATTCCCCACCAGCAGTCGGACATCCTAGTGCTGCCACGGAGGCGGGAGAGGCTCCCTCCACCGACACTATGCTTGCCAGCCATGAGCCTGGCTTCTGGCTGAGTGGCACTCCCCCTGTGGGAGCACACTGACCACCAGGGGGCAGCTCCTGCATTGAGCGTCTGCCCCTTGGTGGTCAGTGCATGTCATAGCAACCAGTCGTTCCATTGTTGGGTCAATTTGCATATTAGCCTTTTATTATATAGGATGTTTTCTTTAGAAATGTGATTTATTTAGTAACACATTACCAAATATAATGATTTTTAGATTAAAATCTTTCAAAGAATAAAGCTCTTGGGGAAAAGAAAGAATCTGGTTATTGAGAGAAGAGACTGAGAAGCGTTAACATAACAGCTCTACATAGCAACACCAGTATCCCCTTAAGAACTCCTGCCAAGTACTGAGGGCTCTGACTAGGGAATGTATAAGGAGGTTGCACATCCTTTGTATTGATGAATGAATCCTAACTTGAGGGGGGCAGTCAGTTCACTAATCATATTGTAACAACATATCCTTAACAACCACCTGCTCCTGCCCTGTATTTTGGCATAGCTCTGGTGAGGAGCTTTAAGAAGTACTAGGTCTGCTCCTAGCTGCCTGTTTATAGAAGCTTGGGATTTTAAGTGGGACATAAAAGGAATGGAGTGCCATGGGAAAGGGGATAGAAGATGAAGTCTGTGGAAGAGATGAAGTAAGTTAAAGGATCATCATGGCTTAGTTTGCACCCCTTGAAAATGGGGCAACAGAATTTATTTCTTGAAGAGATAAGTACTGTCCCAAATCCATTTCTTCCATCTCAGCCCCATGGGGATTCTACTAAAAAATGAAACTTTCTCCTAAATTTCTTACCTCTTCCTCCCCATAGGCCCTAACTGTTTCCCAGTTCATCCCTTTCTCTAGGCACTCCCAAGATAGGGAGATCAACTGCCCCCTTTCTATTAATGGGCTTAGGTTTACAAGTAAGAGACAAAAGCAAGCTAGCACTTTTGAGAGCGCCTGTCCCAGGTCTCTGCTAAATTTCATTTGGTGGAGCATCTTTAGAGAGATGACTTGTGGAATCCAACTTTTAAGTTTGTTTTTTTCTGTTGGGCAGGCCAAATGAATTTGGAATATTCTGTTTTGGGTTGAATTTATCCCTTGTTATTTTAATGGCTGTAACAAGTTGTTTTTAAAATGTTTCCAATCAGCACATCTTTATTTACTGTCCTTAACACCCGGAGGCTACTTGAAGAAGGATTTAATTTTCAAAGTCCAGTAAGTAAACAAAAGTTTTCCAATAACATCTTCAGGCAAGCACTGAAAGACCTCATTTTTGCCACAGAACTTTCTTGGCTCTCCCATAATAATTCATTAGAACTGTGCTCAACAAACCTTGTACAATCATTTAAAAACTATACCTCCAAACACAAAGTTACTTACTAATTTATTTCTCTTCTTTTTAATCACTATGTTTAACAAAAAACAAAAGCAAAAGCAAGACATGTTTTAAATGTGGTATTATCTGACTAGACCCTAAATATATTAAATCAAATAGGCCGTGTGGGGGATACATATGATACGTAGTTGGGAGATGGTTATTCACTGTTCTCTTGAGAGAATGAAAATGTCCAGAAGGCACTGATTAGATAAGCAGAGGCCAGCAGGCATGGCTTCGGCTATGGAGGAATTTCTACGGCTTTAAAATGAACTCCAGAATCCCATTAAATGCAATATCCACTGATATTGGGTATGTTCTCTGTTACCTTCTTTTATCTCAATCCTTTGAGAGTCCAGAAATTTAAGGGCTGTTTTAATCAAAATAGGCTAATTGTTATAACAAGTGACTTTAAAATCTCAATGGTTTGACCCAACAAAATGTATTCTTCTTTTTGTCCATTCTCTTGTCACAGTCCAAAATGGATTGGTAGGGGCAGAAGTGCGTGGAATGTGGTGGTCAGTCTTCTATTCAGTAATTCAGGGACTTAGGCTCCTTCCAACTTATACTCTATGTTCCTCTAGGTCAGAATCCTCTCCACCCAGCCAATGGGTAGAGAAAGAGTATACTGAGCACTGCACAGGAGGCTTGTTATGGGCCAGACCTGGAATTGGCACCCACCACTTCCATCCACATTCTAGTGGCCAAAACTCAGTCACTTGGCTCTGCCTAACTTCCATGAAGAGAGCAAGGAAGTATAGTCCAGCTGTGTGCCCAACTCACAGGAAAGACAGAGAGCTCTTTGAGGCAGGCCATTCGTTCTTCTGTTCTTGTATATTATCAAAGGTGTGCAAAAAACTGTACTGTCCTATTTACAGGTCACTCAATGCCTAGCCCTGCCACTAATGTCTTGGTCAGCTCCTGGCAAAAGCCCATCTGTCAACATCAACATCAACCTCATTACCACCTCAAATGAGTCCACACTGCAAATTTACTCCATTATATTTAGGACTTTCCAGAGGTTCAAGATAACCTGGACCGAGGCCTGGGAAGAGGTTCCGTTTAGAAGTTGCCTGACAAAGTCATATGTAATATCTAAACCAAATTTTGTCACATGGGAGCTATGAGAACAATAAATGTGTTACAAACATTTAAAGAACTGTCTCAATACCTCTTCAAAAACTATGAAAACATATTTTTGTCTTTTCTCGATCACTGTATTTTTCACAGTTGTCATGCTTCTGTAATTGTCTGCACTCTTGCTTCCTGCTTCTTTCATTAACCAATTTACAAAGGTCATCTGATAGTGCAACCATTTTAGAGACATCCATTTGTCCTCATTTACTCATCGGCTACTATCCCCGTTGAGATTTTAGCTTCCTCCAATAATGTTTGTTCATCCTCTTACATAAAGGGGATGATGCCATGGGCTATGCAAGGTAATGATGTTAAAGTCCTCATGTGCACTCTGGGCTGTCTTTCTAGTTGGGGTAGGTTTTTACTGCCCTGTCCACACTTTCCTTGTATAAGCCAAGCTAAGCATTTATTATATGGCTCATGCAATTAAGGATGCAGTCTTCATTCATGTATTTATTCATTTCTTTATCCATTCATTCCTTCCGAAATATTTGTTGAGTATCTACTATGTGCCAGACAGTATGCTAGATGCTAGAATCAGAGCAAAGAACAATACATATAAGGTCCCTACCCTTGTGGAGTTTATGAGAGAGACATATTCTAAATAAGTGATAATGCAAAATATTAATTACAATTGTAGCATTTACATGGGAAGCTTATTTTCTTTTTAGCATTTTAGATGACCTGAAATCACCACGAGTTCTGTTTTGTTTTTTTACACTGAGCTCTTTGTTCCTCTGTAAAAACCAGCTTCTTTTCTTTAAGGTAATCATTCATTCTTTGATTTAATGATAATATTCATCAATTCATTAAATATCATTATAAAACTACTATTTACTGGGCATGATGCTAAGGTTTCCAAATACAAAAACAAAAAGACAAGATTCCTGCCTCAAGGGTCATAGTTCAGTTAAGTAGACTGGCATGCAAACCACACAGTATCTTATATAATAAAAGCCAAATATGCAAATTGACTGAACAGCAGAATGACTGGTGGAATGACCGGTCGCTATGATGCGCACTGACCACCAGGGAGCAGACGCTCAATGCAGGAGCTGCTCCCAGCCCGCAGGCCCCAGGCCAGCCAAGGTGGGTGCCAGCGGGGACCCCCTGATCGCCCTGCCAGTCACCCTGCAGAGGGAGGCGACCAGTGGTGGCTGTGGGGTCCAGGGCCGGCACCAGGCCAGCTAAGGCGAGTGCCAGGGGGGCCCCTCAATTGCCCTGCTGGTCGCCCCACAAATCAGCCCTGATCGCCAGCCAGGCCTAGGGACCCTACCTGTGCACCAATTTCATGCATCAGGCCTCTAGTATTATGATAATAGTCCTAATGGAGAAATGTAAAATGTGTAGTGAGGGATAGGAAAGGAGGACCTAAATCTGCCTGCATAGATCAGGGAAGACTTCGCAAAGGAGGTAGCACTTGGATTTGAAGGGTGAATAAGCCTTTGCTAACTAGAGAAGTCAAGGAAGAGCGTGTGATGGCTGGTTGATCATCAAAGACTTGTGCTTTCGCATTCCATAGTATGAAAATGTTCTGGGAAGTGGCCCTACTAATTTCCAGTTCCATCTACAAGTGACAAGTGACAAGTTCTAATTAATGGGACATGAGCAGAAGTGATTGCATCATTTCTGGGCTGGGTTAAGAAGTAGGTGTGCCTTTTCTTTCTTCTTTTCCCCAGCTGTTAGCTCTGGAAGTAAAACACTGAAGCTTGGAGGATGGCAAAGCTGCAAATAGAAGGATTCTGGATGGAAGGCTGCTTGTCACACTGAACTGTTATATGACTAAGAAAAAACTTTCTATTGTGTTAATCTATATAGCTTATTTTTTACAGCAGCTTAGTTTAGTTAATACAGGGCAGTCCAAGCAAAGTGAACAGTATGTTCAAAAGCTTCCTGGTGTGTCTAGCACAGAGTGCATACTCATAAATATTTGATATTGCAGTAAGAGTACTATAGGAAAATACTAATGGTCCAGTATTGCCAGAGTATAAAATACATGATTGGTGAGTATAAAGGGGGGTGGCTGGAGAGGAATGGTGGATCACAAAGAACCTTGAATGCCATGTTGAAGAATTTAGGTTTGATTTGTGGAAGGAGGGAAGCCAATGAAGAATGCTGAAAAAGTTGAGGCATGATCCCTGGAATAACAGGATCCCTGAGAAACAACACTCAGGAGCTCGCTTTAATTTTCTTTAAATGTAAAATGGTAATTCAAAGTCGAAAGATAGGATTTCGGAATCAGAACACATCATAGTCTGGTCAAACCTCATTTAACAAACGAGGAAAGTGAGGCCCAGAGAAGCCAAGTACCTATGCCAAGGTCACCCAGCTAAAATCCGGCAGAGATGGGGATAGAAGGCTAGTCTCTTGTTTACGAGCCCTATAGCATTGCTCTTTCCACTGCACCGCAGTGCTTCGGAGCCGTGGAGACCAGCTGGTGTGCCTGTGCTTTCAGCTCTCTAATGAAGACGTTGGGGATTTGGAGGCAGGGTATTTTCCATGGAAGGCTGTCTTCTCTGTAATTCCTCATCTGGCTTGAACCACTACTTTGGAAAAGGTCCATTTCTCAGCATCAAATTTCCCTGGAGGGCCATTGGGAATGTGCTTAGTGACCTGTGGGGTGCCCTTGCACTTTCTGAGCATTTGTTGGGAAGATGAGAAGAAACTAGCCGTGGTTTGAGCTCCTGGAAATGCTGCCTGGTACCTTGGCAGCATGGTTGGCTCTCTCAGCGACTGTGGTTCAGCCCTCCAGCTGATTGTCCTTCAGGGGTGAGATCAAAACATCTTCTTCAGCTTGTCTACTTAAAGGGTCAGCCCCTATAGCTGGCACTTTCTGCTCATCATTTCACTACTTCTTGTTTTCATATATTGTTAAGCTGATTCATTATTCATTATAGTTATTATTTTACTCCATGTGCTACCCAAGGCCGTATGACACCCAATTTTTAAATGGGCAAAGGGCAACTATGCTGAGGCCAGTCTCAGGGAAGCATGGCATGTGGTCTGATTTAAGAAGGACAGGATATTAATGAATTATTTTACAACCAGGAAGCCAGAGCACTAATTGGGAAGCAGGGGAGGTCATTTGTCTAAAAGCTTCCAAGAAATCTGGGGAAAATATAGTTCTTGATGTCTTTGGTCTACTCTAGAGTTCTATAATCACCCATTCCTTGTCCTTTGGTTGTATCATCTTTGCCTCTCTTGCATGTTGCTCAATTGATAGCTCAGTTGATTAGGATGAAGTATTAAATGCAGATGAGATTGCTACCTCAGTCCCTAAGGAGTGTCTTGGTGGCACCCAAGGACAATGTCTGATGCAGTGTATAGTGCTTGGACATTGAAGTCAGAGTGACATCTGTCACTCACTCATTGTGAGACCTCTGGCAAGTTTCTAACCTCTCTGAGCACCAGTTTCCTCTTATGGGAAACGGGAAAATACTGTAAACTCCTGGGGGTTGTTGTGGAATTAAATAAATGAACATATCTAAAGCTTCATGCTGGGCAAGTGGTTGGCTCTTAACAAACACCTTTCAGGCCCCTGAGAAGTTACCATAAGTAGCATTCTTTTCTCCAATCCGAATTTTAGGATTCAGATCAAGATGAGAAATGAGACAAAAGAGTGGGCAGATGGAGACCAAAATATTACCTTGATATCTTTTTTCTGTGAGATAGAATGGGATACTAAATACTAAATGAGTTTCAGCTTTAGGCAGACTTATTCACCCAGTCACAAGTAACACTTGAGCATGACAGGCCTTCTTATTCTGGGGATGAGAGTTGGGGTAGGAAGGGGATCCTGCCCCAGAGAAGCAGAGCATCCTCACTGTAGGAGGCAGGTACCTAAGAGGAAGAAAGGAGGAACTAAACTGAACGTGCCCTATGTAGGCTTCACAATTCCCCAATCAGATTAAGCCCCTCCTCTAAGGAGGACAGACAAGAAGCTAAACAGAGGGACAGACCTCCACAGGGAAGGAAACCTCAGAAGCATTTCTCCCAAGATTTCCCTTCTCTTGCCCTCCTACTATCATCTTGTGCCTGTTACTTCTCGGCCGCTCCGCTTATGAGGGACACAAGTAACCGTGTGCCACTGTGGGTAGCCTTGAGTACAAACTGGTTGGAAGAAAAGTGTGGGACAGGGAGGGAGAGGTTGGGTTGAGTTGTTCCTAACTTCAGAATTAGGGGTTAGAGGTCTGAAAGGAGGATCAGTGTTCAGAGACCTGTTCTAGACAGGAAGACTCTGCAGGAGCATAATCAGAATTTCCAGGCATGGGGCAACATCCAATGGCTCAATCCCAGGAGGACAGGTGGGTGGCAGGGTTCTAGCAGCACTTGCATCTGACCTATGGGTCCCAGAACTTTGTCTTCTGGAGATGACTCTCAATACTAGTTATATATGCTCTGCCCAGTTTTTAAAAAAAATTTTTTTTTATTGATTTCAGAGAGGAAGGCAGAGGGAGAGATAGAAACATCCATGAGAGAGAATCATTGATCGGCTGCCTCCTGCACACCCAACACTGGATTCAGCTGCAACCCAGGCATATGCCCTGACCAGGAATCAAACCATGACCTCTTGGTTCATAGGTCAACGCTCAACCACTGAGCCAAGCCGGCTGGGCTTGCTCTGCCCAGTTTTTAATCTTTAAAATATAAGCATATTTTGTAATTATAAAAATAATACATGCTCACTTTGGAAAATTCAGAAATATAGAGAAGTATAAAGAAAAAAACCGAACTAACACATAGTCTCACTGTAGAGAAAAAATGTTAACTTTGACTATATTTCTATTCAGTCTTTCTTCTATGCATAGCACGACACAGATAAAATGAGTCTACCTATACATATTAAATTTTCATGCTGACTTTTTATTTAATATTAGAGTATTAGAATCATTTCCCCATATTATTAAAAGTTCTCAGTAATTAAACATCATTTTAAATGACATTTTCCCAGGTGTCAAGCACATTTGGATCAATCTCTACCAAT